ATGTTAAGTAAAGAGTCTGCTTATTTGTCTTTTACAGAAGTCTTGCGACAATTGATTAGATAAACTTTTCTCTTTGCTCTTCGCCACTCCACTCAGACAATATGTATTATTAATAAAGTTGCACTGTCTACTCGCCCACAGATCTAAGCTCCACAAGCCAGTCAGACAACTGGTATTAATCCTAAAGTTATTTTGGTCTAAGCTCCACGTATTAATCAAGTCTACTCACCCATTGATCTAAGCTTCAACATCCGTTTCAATTCTGTTTCAACTTGCCAAAGCATTTTTTTTATTCATTTATAAATTTCATCACCAATAGTTGTATCATGTCTCATTTTCATTTGGTCATTTCACCAGCCTTTGAACGTCCATGCGTATCTTACTAGGTATTACGTTCCTCTTGTTATTGCAGCGCTCTGACCACCAGACTAGCATAAATTTCCTTTAAATATAAACTACTCCAGAACGCCAAAAACTAGTGCGCATTTCTATACCAGGCAGCATTTTTGGTAGTTTTTTGTTCTAAAAATTGCTCAAGTTTTAACGGCACTTAATAGAACAACAGGCTGCAGACTGAGAGGTGGTTCAGGTTTGAGACTATATGTTGACCTATGCACGTGTTTCTTTTCATCCATATTTTACTCATTTTTCTTTTTGATTTTTGCAGAGATTTTTCGTTTTTCCAAGCAAATATATTTACCTAATGTTTCCGTTTTAATATCCCAACTACAGGGTGTCCCAGAAATCTGGACCCTTAGGGAAAATAATTATTATATTCTTAAAGTTACACAAACACATTTTTAAGTTCAGTTGTAAATATGTGAGGATAAAAAATACCCTAATGGGTACCAAGAATTAATATGTGTATGGCTGTTAATGGCATGCAATTTGAAATAATAAATAGATTAAAAATAAATTTTGTATTTTCCCTATGGGACACCCTGTACTTTATGCATTTTTACATCATCAAATGCAACCAGGCGTTTTAAAATCACACCAGAATCTCAAAACAATTTCAACATAAAACACCACGAGAGATACCTTAAACATTTTAGACAAACCAACACACTTCATCGAGTAAATTAAATGCTGGTAGTCCTCCACTGAGTCAGTGGTAATCTTACTGACTTACAACGCTAAATTCCGGGTGTCAGGTTTTATGTATTGGCCGGATTCATTACAGTAGGTGTCTGTGACTTGTTGGCGATAAATTTCAACATTAAACAAACATCACACAATCCACTTGTTTCAAAATAATATATAAAAACAAATCAAACTTATATTTAATTGCTCGTTACACTGTTGGTTATCAGTTGTATCCAGAGCTTTAAATAATTGTCTGTTTTTCATCAATGTCCACACAGGCTGATTAAATTACTTTATAACACAATATCTCACGACAAATTATTCTCCATGCTCTGTTATTACAATACACTCTGTGATAATTTCACTTTAGAAATTGCCTCTATACGCTCTTTATGGCTAAGCTCACAATCACGCAGTCGAGATCTAGATAATTTCGAACTAAATTTTCGACGCGTATTTTTACCCCAACAGAGGCCTAAAACTTTCCACACACTACGATATATTATGATGCAATAATACTCAATTAAAACAACGAGAAAAACTCAGAAGGTTCTAGTAACATGATGCAATAATATAATTATCGCCAATTCACAACAATTGAACTACACAACGTATGATTCATAAATAGTTATGTAAAAAAGCTGGCGATAAACTATCGCTTCTAAAAATAACTAAATTTAACACTCGCGCTATATAACTATTTAAATCATAACTCTCGCATTGAACTTGAATGGAAAAAGTCGTGTATATCTAACACCAGGGTTCGGTTTCCCATGGAAGACAGAGTGAATATAGCCCATTGTGTAGCTTTGCACTAAACAACGACAATAAATGCTGGTGATGCAAAAAATTATTTTTTCGTTCTCTAATTGGGAATTAAAAAATAATCATCTGAGTTTAGCATATAAACTAAATATATTATCTCAAGTCTTTGTTTTTTGAATTTTTCAATTATATTTTGTTTTTTAATCCAGTTCATGGTATATTAATGTTAAGATATTCGTATTTAATACCTGTATACATGTAAAAATAATTTCATTCTTCTGAATAGAGGGGCAGTACACAGTCCTACCAACGGGAGAGCTGTACGTTCGTGACGTAGTCCAAAGTGACACTTTCAGAAGTTATCGATGCAAGACGAAACACAAGTTGACTGGTGAACGAGTTACCTCTGAAACAGCTGGAAAAATAATTGTAACAGGTGGCGTTTCGTCGAAACTTAGAATATTTCTAGTAATTCAAAATAATTGTAATAGGTGGCATTTCGTCAAACTTAAAATATTTCTAGTAATTCAAAATAATTGTAACAGGTGGCGTTTCGTCGAAACTTAGAATATTTCTAGTAATTCAAAATAATTGTAACAGGTGGCGTTTCGTCGAAACTTAGAATATTTCTAGTAATCCAAAATAATTGTAACAGGTGGCGTTTCGTCGAAACTTAGAATATTTCTAGTAATTCAAAATATTTGGAACAGGTGGCGTTTCGTCGAAACTTAGAATATTTCTAGTAATCCAAAATAATTGTAATAGGTGGCGTTTCGTCGAAACTTAGAATATTTCTAGTAATCCAAAATAATTGTAATAGGTGACGTTTCTTCGAAACTTAGAATATTTCTAGTAATCCAAAATAATTGTAATAGGTGACGTTTCTTCGAAACTTAGAATATTTCCAGTAATCCAAAATAATTGCTAATATTAAAACTCTTTTAGAAGTTTCATAGGCAAACAGGCTGAACAAAACTACGGCTAGTCTATTTATACAGATGTATAACCAAAATACAAATTAAATTAATGGATGGATATAACTTACGTGCCTACCTAAACCAATGTAAATTCAGATTGAGTTTTGTGCTTTACAAAGAGCAGCTTCTCTACGAAGTAAACGATGAAAATAGAAACAAAAATAAAGTGGTTAAATACTAACTTAATTTCCCACTAAACATCCATTTCAGAGGCATACGTTTACTATTAAAAGTGTGAGTTTTCTTTGCGCTTATAATTTAGCGTTATTTATATTTTCTGCCCACTGTCTCTTCATTACCATAAAATGACAAACACAACTACTACAGCACTACTAACGCTTTAAATCATTAAATCTGAACGAAATTTGATGAGATTACTCCGACTTCCACAATAACCAAAGGAGATAGAATTACTTGTAATCCAGAAAAAAATCACGTAAGAAAACTACTGATATACCCAAAGGAGATAGAATTACTTGTAATCCAGAAAAAAATCACGAAAGAAAACTACTGATATACTCAAAGGAGATAGAATTACTTGTAATCCAGAAAAAATCACGAAAGAAAACTACTGATATACCCAAAGGAGATAGAATTACTTGTAATCCAGAAAAAAATCACGAAAGAAAACTATGATATACACAAAGGAGATAGAATTACTTGTAATCCAGAAAAAATCACGAAAGAAAACTACTGATATACACAAAGGAGATAGAATTACTTGTAATCCAGAAAAAAAAGCACGAAAGAAAACTACTGATATACCCAAAGGATATAGAATTACTTGCAATCCAGAAAGAAAAAACAAACTCACAAAAGAAAACTACTGATATACCCAAAGGAGATAGTATTACTTGCAATCCAGAAAGAAAAAACAAACTCACGAAAGAAAGCTACTGATATACCCAAAGGAGATAGAATTACTTGCAATCCAGAAAGAAAAACGAACTCACGAAAGAAAGCTACTGATATACACAAAGGAGATAGAATTACTTGTAATCCAGAAAAAAATCACAAAAGAAAACTACTGATATACCCAAAGGAGATAGAATTACTTGTAATCCAGAAAAAAATCACAAAAGAAAACTACTGATATACCCAAAGGAGATAGAATTACTTGTAATCCAGAA